GACTGAAATTGTAATTGTATTAGCCAGTAGAAGAAGCACCGCAAACGAGCCTGTTCGCTACTGTGTTTTTTCTTATAATGTGTAATGTGTGATGGTGTATTCGGACAATTAATAAGAAATAGTGAGTAAATATCCGTTTGCTCGTCTGACACGGATCTGTATTACCCGAGACTGTTGGTCCATCAAATCCGGTAGTGTGTGTGTGTTTGTATCACTTGGATGCATCCGGAATGTGTATCAACCAAATCATGGTACAAGAAAATATAAGCAGTTTATGACTTATTCGTGAGCGGATTACTTACTACTAGATTACTCTTCTATGGTCCATTCTGTAACGCAACGTATAATCTGCCTACAATACGTTTCAGAAAAAAATGTTTTAAGGTATTTCGCTTGGATAAGCCCATTCGATTGTTTAGAGGCCCCAGACACCTTTCATAATCCCGGATGTGGGTTTCATTCCTTGGGAGATCGTAATTACCCTCTATTTGACTGCATTGTATTGCGATGGAATTATTTGTGATGGTCGACACAGAGAGAACCGGACAGCTGTTTCCTCCTGTTTGAGACTCGTCAGAAATGCGTACTTTTTGTGTCCTTGTCAGGACTCGAACCGCGAACATTCGGGTTGGGATTTGAAATACTTACGCCTGAGCCACATTGTTTTCACGTCTCGTTGAAGTGAGCAACTCATATGTCTCAAATCGGGGCTTCTTAGTTAGTGATTTTCAAAAGTAAATTATGTCCGATCAACCATTGTTGATAAACCCAGACTGCCAGTGAGTTGAATGTAGTTCCACCACTTTACCGAACTGGACACATGGTATGCACAAATCCACTCGAGTTCACAGTCCTTTCCCGGGGTTCGCGGTTCGATTCTTGACACGGGGACAGAAAAAGAGCATACTGTTGTCGAGTCCCAAAATTAGGACAAAACAGATGTCCAGTGCTCTTTGTGTCGGTCATCACAAATATTTCCATTACGTTTAAAAAGCATTCATATGTAATTCGTCAGCAGTTTGTTTATCCTATCCGCGTGTGAAGGTGAAATCACAAAATGAAGTATTTTGCATTCTGAGAAGTTGTACGGCGGCCTCGGTCGCTGTAGTGCTGGGAATCCAAGCGAATAATTTCACTGGACGAATTGTTGGATGCCTTGTTCAAGAAATAAATACATTCATGCTCTAACCGTCAATCATTGCGCTCCCACGGATGGTATGAATTCGACGCCCAATCGCAAAGTTTGCTGTACATGTTCCCGATGGACCGATGGATGCACTGCTGACGAGTCCGTGACACGAATGAAACAGTCAGCCGGTGGTAGGTGTCGGCGATCATCACTGGAAATTCCAACACAGAAGGAATACATTTAGTCTGTGTAAAATGCACAAACTTTCAAAGAGTTTGATCCACATGTAATGCCTCAAAAAGCGCTCATAATGGGCTTAAATCAGACAGACTAGTACAGATGGCATTTTTGGATGCTCTTAACCGTACCATAAGATCATGGTTGTTCCATAAAAAAGATAAAGTACTTGTTTTCATGAGTCCTCGGTTTCTGGATAATATTATTTTCCTTGTATCTATTTTTATATTTCCAGAAACCAAAGGGCCGGTCCACATGCAGCACCTATTTTGTATGGCCGAAGAAATTCGTAATGCTCGACTTGTTCGTCAGGTACGCGGAGGTGGGAGCGGTGGCGGTGGTGGTGGTGCTGCTGGTGGGACGGGAGTAACAAGTAGTCTGATCACTGATCAATGGGACCAGTCCAAATCAGACGGCTATCGATTAACACAGTCCATTCCGGACGGTAGTTTTGCCAGCGGAAGTCGCATCCTGCTTGGAAATGCATCAATCACCTTAGATCCATATAATTCGGCCGCCGGCGGTCCAGGNGGTTCCGATATGCTCGTCAATCCGAATTGTGGGCCAGGGGGGATGATGATCTCTGGTGCATTCAGTGATACGAATTCGAACACAACGGCAGGAGTTGATGTGCATACTCGATATCTACCAGACGGTCGTGTGGCTACCCTTCAGTCGGGTTCCGCATTCTCTCTGGTCACTAATGCTGGAATGCAAGGGAACCCTGGTGGCGGTGCGGGCGGTTCCGATCGTCGTTCGAAGACATCCTCATTGATCATGGTGCCCGGGCAACAAGTTGTTCAACTATGGGGTTCACCGCCTGGACAAAAACATTTGATTACCACCGTTCCGGCTGGTTACTACATACAATCGAACCAAGTAGAGATAGCCGGTTCCCAAGCAATGGGTTCCGATGGCCTTGGATCATGTCTGGGGAGTATGGGTCAGCCAGACAACAGTGTGCTTGAACCGTATCAGCCGTCCTCGTCCGGGATTAGTACACTCCGTCGGAACAGTAGTAGTAATAAAGAACCGTTACTCGGCCCCCAAGAGATTGGAAGCCGATCTCCACAAGGAACCGCACTACAACAGCAACACCTTCAACAACAACAACAACAACAACAACAACAACAACAACAGCAGCAGCAGCAGCAGCAACAACAACTACAACTACAACAACAAAAACAAATACTGGGATCACCCGAAATGGCCTCCGGTCCGCTCCTATCTGCCCCCATGGAAACCATGCTCGTTTTAAATCGCAGTCAACCAATGGGATCATCTCAACCGCAGCTAACTTCCGCTGCTATGATGACGCGTCTCAACGGTTCAAATTCGAATCCACAACTGGTTCACAATTTCACTCCGGTCTATGCATTGGTCGGCGGCGCTTCGATATCACACTCGGATAGTGGAACCGGGTCCGGTAGTGGACAGCTACACAGTGGTGACAGTCAGTCAGGTTTGGTTCCTGTTCCGGGTGGTCCAAAAATGCAAACCAATGGGAATGAGAGTTTGATCACCATGAGCAACGGGATTCAGGAATGTGATCCAGGTATTCATACTACTACTACTATTACTACTACTACTACTACTACTATTAATAATAATAATAATAATAATAATAATAATAATGATAGCACCGCTACTAATATTGTACCTTCCATTTCAAAGTGACGCTTTTGTCCGGAATATCCTTGATTCATTTTTATTCTACCTAGGTAACCATTTGTTTATTTTGACTCATCAGTGTATTTCTCTCCTTGTCTTTGTTCCTTAAACTACCCTGTTCTCTCTTTGGGTAAAATTCGTATGTATCATATCTGAAGGGTGCCCCTGTTCTGATGAGCTTCAGGCACTCCACACTCCACACGCCAACTCACTGAAAAACTGATGTGTACAACAGACAAACACACGTGAACTCTAAATGGTTTTCGGTCACACTAGAGCTAACACACCGCGCTATTCGTCTCTGTCTCTCGCTGTTTCTTGCTATGACACACGAACACATCATCGTCTGCTTTCATCTCATCTCTGCGCTCGACTCTAACACTCCCACCCCATTCCTCCGCCCTGTACATGTGTGCCCGTCTGCCAACGTAAGCAAGCAGGCAGGCTATCACCAACGTGTATAGAATCTCTCGATCTGTTTGAATATTACTTCGCAAACAAACATACGAGCACTGATTCGATTCCAAATTATGTTATCTAGTGGATAGTAGTCAAAGATTCCTTCAACAATTGAACAACTGAAGGTCAAGGGACTTTTATCGCGGTCCGTTGAAGATGTTCACCCCCAAGGTGTACGATGAAACTGAGCATTTTTGTTGAGGTTTTTCATGCGAGAACGACGGGAGAAAATGGGTGATCAATTTGTAAGAGCATCGAATGGTTCTGGCTCTTTTACTGCGTTAATAGTATTTTGTGAACTACAACAATGAGTCTCCCCAACACAGACGGGGTTTATCCCACTGACGGACTACGAACATGACCGGAATTCCGCGCTATTCTACATTCGAGCCGAATTCGCTTGCATGAGACGCGTCCCAATTAAAAGCACGGTTCATTGCCATTGTTCGACAAGGCTGGGCTATTGTTAGTCTTCCGCCAATTAGACAAGCCCCTTGCTTAAAAAACTCGTTGCTGTACGACATCTTAAATTGATCGAGGGGTAGCTCAAAGTGAATGAGGAATAGTTCCATCATTTCTAACTGTGACAGTTGTCAGCCTTGTCACAAGCGACAATACATGAGTCCGACCGTTTCGTTTTAATATCAATCATCTATGTTAGGACGGAACCATAGAACCGCCAGTAAGGATCATGGTTCGTGATCCAACAACGCATATCCGATCACGAATGCTCTAATTCTAGAGAAATCCCTGAATCAACAGACTCCCAAATGACTGAACGTCTAAAACACTTGGTAATCCCATCGGGTATTCATTCATCTGATTTGTTCATTGGGAACGTCATCTTTCGTGCCTGGATTATTCTTCCGCGTTATTTCGAAGAAAATTCTTGCGAGAGTTGGAAATACGATCACGGGACGACAGGGATTGATTGACATATGGATAATCAAAACTGGGTGTCTTCGTGCGCCCTATTTATGTCAACTATTCCATTTGGACCGCAATCAATTTTCGATCGTTCGGCATGTTTTACCGTGCAAGCGACATTCATTGTCACTATAACAAAATGAGATTCATTCTAGGTCTATTCAATGTCTATCGGATCAAATTCTATTCTATTCCACACGCAGAAGGGTGTACCAAGTCGCAATTGTATTAGCCATTCCTGGGTGTGTTTGCATAGCAATGTTCGTGTTGTGTACCGACACGAAAGACACAGAGTACTAGCAACTTCTTTTTTTATCAGGGTTCCCAGTTTTGTTTCGCTCAGTATCAAAGTATTTATCGACTTTTATTTGGATCAGATCATGATTCTTGCATCTCAAGTGATAGAAATGTATGATTAAAAAAAAATTTTGTTATTGAAAAAAATAAATAAATAAACAGCTCTGCAATTTATTGATGCATGTCTAATGGTAGTGTTAGAAGTTGTGACGCTCAAACCCCCTTCCTCCCAGAAGAAATATGCATTATTCGTTGTGCGATAATCAACTGACACATTTATTGGGACATTTAGCACTTAACAACTTGCAGATTGACTACCGTTGAAGGCACGGTTATCGAAGTCGAAAATTTATCACACATTTTTACCCGAAGGTCCTGGGTGACTGTGAGACTATGCTGTAAAAGTATGAATGGTCGCCGTTCAATAGATGATGATGATGATAATAATAATCATAGACTTATCCCAAGGGTACTGTTAATTACTTCACACTATTCTCACATGCTGCCTCGTTATTGCCCATCTCTAGTATTATGTCATTTTAGGGTAAGTAAGACATTTTTCACTTGTGAATAGACTGATCACTGCCAATTGTGTTTAACATAATACTATGTGACCGACATTTCGGCGAAATACTTTTTAGGCAAAATTGTTTTCAAGATATTATTATTTTTTTATTTTATGAAACGGGGATTCTCCATCTAGACTCAGTGCATCACTCCTCTACTAATAGTAATGGAGTAGTATTGTGTCGTTTCGTGTTTTTGTAGAATAGATCTGTATGAACAGTTAGACCGGATTGGCTATTATGTTAGACAGTTGGATTAGTAAACCACCTTCCTGATACACTAGGCAGGCTTTGTGTGGTATGCCTAAGGGGACAGACAGTACAGACCCAGCGATATCCTATTATTAAACTACAACTTTCCCACCACAAGCTTGAGCCAAAACCCGAAGTCCTTTAGCCTCGACTGGTAATCCTTTAGCGGAAACCCGAAATGCTTAAGCCATGACCCGTAGTCGTTTAACTTAGACGCACAAACTTCGGCCATGCCACTGTAAGCGAGTCGGATCAAAACGTATCGGAATATAGTCTGAGGTCAACGAATGTGGAAAAAGTTTATTTTCTATAAATGTTGATCTGACAAAGCTCCGTTAAGAAATGTGAAGGTGTGGCAGTCGCATGCTGCACCACAAGTTGATTGGAGAAAGTTGGAACGATGTGCCCGTATCGTCAAACCATTTAACACACCTCATACAGCTTCAGTTTTCCCGTATAACCTTCGATATTCCGGTGAGTGAAAATTTCCAGTATAACACGAACGGTACATAGTGTTTTGGATTCACAAGCCCCGGAAATAAATCACAAAGTGATACCACGAAAGAGTATAGGCCAACCGTTCCGTGTCTCCATGACTGCGAGTGGTGGCTAAAGCTTGATGGGAAAAGATGTAAAAAGAGAAGAGGTGACCTTGTTTGTCGGGTTTCAGGTATTGATACACAGTTATGTTGAACAATCTGCTATATGGTGCACTAATTTGCGGGTTTTTTTGTCTAAAGTCACCCTGTCGGATACACACACACACATAATACAACCATTACAAATTATTGAGCCAGGAATCAGATGACTTCATTCGCACTGGGACTATCCAGTCCCCCCGTAACGGAATAACGCCTCTCAATTTTTGATGTTATGTAATAGAATGTTCATTGGAACGCTATACTTGGCTTTGGCTAGCATCATCGTCGCTCGTGACACTGACCGGATAATAGAATGATGAATTAGACTGGACCAAACTGTGACGTGCTAGGTACATGTGCTCACTTGATCCATTGTTCATTGAAAGGGATTTCATCATGAACTCTTGTACACACGCACTGGACTGATCGTGTTTGTTGCTACCGTTGTAATGTACTCGAGCCTTCCCTCCCCCCTACCAAAAAGTGGGGTAAAATGTCTCACTAAGAACGGTTTTGTGGACGAATAGTCTCTCTACCAGGCGTGCGGATCCCTTCTTACTGGTCAGCTCCTGATTGTGACCGGAAACAGGTCTTGCCGTGGACGGGCAGAGAACAGGTGACCAAAACGCTACGATATCATATTCCGAATCTCTCTGTACAAATTGTTGATTTGGATTCGTTCGCTTGAACTGCTAGTGAGAATCAGTAGTCAGTAGTCTGAATGAAGATACAATTTCAAACTTTACGGGAGCAAGACAAATGTTCTCTTCAAAAGTGATATAATAAGGCCTCGAGTGGTTGACGGGGTGGGGAGTGGGTGGGATGAGAATGGCCGTCTTGCTCCAAAGCAGCAACATCTGGCTGAAAATAGTGAATCAAAGTCACCACATCGATCATAGTGCTATCTATCTATCACGTGCTATGTACGATCATGTTTGATCGATCTGGCTGGTTGTCCAGTTTATTGATCCATTTGTGCCCATAGATATATGGCTTGTGATTCGGTGCTCTTAAAATCGTGAAAATTATCGAAATATAAGACTTAAACACTTTCGCTGCATCTCAAATTGGTTCACACCACAGAAAATACAATGCTTCTCATAGGGCTTGCGACATGATCACAAAGTAGATCAAAACAAACCAATGGAAGCCGGGGAAGCTCTTGCAATTAGTGACCTGTACAGACAATCGAAAATGCCGTGTTTCGGACGTACTGCATCATCAGATGACGATAGCGCTGTTCCGACTGTCATTTCTATTCGAACACCGTGAATTGCACCCAGAAGGAAAAGAAAACGTAGCTGATGAATTGGATCGATCAGTTTTCCCGGCAAGTACTTTTTATCCGATTGGCAAATGCCATACAAATTCAGTCAACCTCAGTGAGTAAAGAATTCGACGAAAAGAATGCTAAACCACCAACAAGGATTTGTGCCGATTGCTCAGACAGATTTCCTCGAAATTCAATGAATTGTCAGCAAACCGAACAGTCCGTATGCCCCCGTGAAGAAACGTGCGCAGAGGATTTGTAATGGTTGTAGTAGTATTAGTAATGCGCACTGAACTCGGAATACGAACCACGCAATTCGGATCACGAAATACGAATCAAGGATTAGCAAACACGGACTGGATCACGTAAGCACCGGGCCGCACTGGCACTAGCACGCAATATCCCACCTAACTGAGACACAAGGAAAAGGCCACAGAAATGGTAGTACGTTTATTGGAAGAAATAAAGGGGATTAAATAATATCTAGGCTCATTAGCTATCCTGCCTTCCACCAATCACGTTCCAGTATTTCTTGCATCGTTCTGCTTTTGTCTGGGCCCCACGGTCTCTGATTGGCTGGTACGATCTAACTAT